GATTTGCAAGGAGGTCAGTGCTACATTTCTATTGCAGCTCAAAATAAAAATTAGAATATCTGAAGGTTATTCTTCCCATAGGAACCTTCATACAGCTAGAAAGGAAGAAAATCAAATTCAATTGCTTCTTTAGATGAGTCAGAAGCTGGAAATATTGTGTGCAACAGACTATGTAGTAGTGCAAGCTACTATGTCTAGACCTGAAACAGCAGTTCTATGAATACTGCTATTTTTGCACTAAAGTATTTATTAATCTGTGGTTTAATCTTCCAAACAGTAACAAAGCCAACGTGAGTATCATGCTCAGACACATAGTGCCATACACATCAGCCATCAGTAAGGGGGGGAATGAAAAGTTGCTATTATAGAAAATGTTAAATTTACAGTTTTCTACAATGCAATACAGAACTGCTTTTACAAGACAACTAAACAGGCTGGACAGAAATCTACATATGCATATGGCAGACACATGAATTAAAGAGAACATTCCATGTAGTATGACCTCCAGAAAAGATTCTACAATAAAAAACCAATCCAACACCCCCTGCCATCCATCAAACAATGCCGAAAGCATTAGGAGTTGAAGCACACTTACACATAGTACAAAAGTTAGGTGTGGCTTTTGAACCTTTTTGGTCCTTCAGAGAATCCCTGTGCCATGGAGACATTGGGCAAAGAAGCCGGAGGATGTGTGGAGGAACTTTAACATCTAAGTCACATACAGATAAGGGAGCATAAATGCTCCTGAGCCAGGAGTCTGGGTGGGCTCTGATCACAGCTGCTTAGAGCTCTGGTTTGCACAAGTGCAGCGCAGTTTTTGCCTCTCAAATAAGCTAAAACGAGCAATTCCAGCTATACCTATAGAGAGGTGAAAATGACAAGTAATGCAAGCATCTGCAACTATTTCACTAAAGTACCCAAAAAATCACCACCAAAAGAATGAAAGATTTCAAAGTAGAGTTTCCCTCAGTGCTTATTAGCAATCAGATGCCTTGCTGCTGAAGTGTCCCGGCAGTGCCCCAGGGCCCGGGGCCGTGGCTGAACGTGGGTCAGCCGCGCTCCCTCTCGGCGGCACACCGAGCCTGGCTGCGGCAGCAGCGGCTGCTCCGGCAGGGACTGCTCCCCTCGCAGCACCCACGAGGCCTTGGCTGCAGTCCCCTGTCCTATTTGGGGTCTCCCCATACAAGACACCAATGTATTCAAGGAAGTCCAAAGGACTGCAAGTGTAAGGGCTGAAGGAACCTTTTCCCCAGGAAAGCGACAGGTAAGGAGCGCTGTAATTGAAGCCTACAACGGCACCGAGACAGAGTGGGACTTGGATTCACAGCAAAAGAACAAAAGCCTGTGGTATCAAGGGAAACTCTAATGAGATAAAAGGAAAATATTTGCATGGTGAGAGAGGTTAATTACTGAAACAGATTGCCCAGAGAGGCTGTGGTATCTAGTTCAGGGAGATATTCAAAACTTGATTGGATGATCTGATTTTGATATTAGCTCATCAGAGAGCAAGGGCTGGGTTAGACAACCTCCAGCAACCCTGTCTGACCTCCAGGGCTCTCGTAGAATCATTGTGCAGTAATATATAGCACTTACCTTTTGGAAATCAGTTAGTTATTTTGCATAACATTTCCAGATCTGTTCCAAGAAGTACCACTTTGTGATAGCCCTTCTGGAAAACTACCCTCACCCTTAGCACTTCTTGACTATGTTATAACTGTGAGCGCTTCCACAACAGTAAAATGCCTCAAATTATGTATTTCAGAAAGACTTCTAGAAAGATTTAGGTTTGCAATAGGCAAAAGCAGTATGGTTCAAAGACACTAAATATTCCTGGACGTATTTACAATACACAGGGATAATTTTCCCACATGTGAAGAAGTCTTTTAGCATTGACACAGAACTAACCATGATGTTCTCTTTTTTTTAAAAAAAAACTACCACAAATACTACCATTATAATCATAGTATGTGGTGAAACAAAGGTAACTATGTTTGAAACCAAATGCTCAAGTCAGAAAACAGTTCCTAAGCAATGTTTGTGTTGAGATGTCTCAAATGTCAAGAGATACAAGATGAATAAACAGCCAGCCTGTTTTCAGCATCCTCCAAGGGATGCTGATGCACAGCAGGCTGGCACAGATGCCCCAGACAATTCTCGTCCTGTTTCAGCAGACTATCCCACATCTGAATATGTTTGAAGTGCATGGCAGAACTGGGGACCAAAGCCAAGGAGCAATTCATTGGCAGGAGAGCTCCTGCCAAGAGCAGGTGATAAAATCACCTGGAGCAGAGCACATGGCACTGCCCAAAGGGTATCTCTGCAACACAGTCAGGATCAGGTAAATGCCATAAACCCCCAGGTGTCCCATTGGTTTGTTGGTAGTGTTTGGACAGCTGATGTCAGATGAAAATAGATCAGCAAGGTTTAGAAAACATTTCAGTTTGGTTGGCTTCACATGCCTGTCTATTTTCCATGTCTGAATCATGCAAAATCTCTCCTCAGATGGCGCAGGCAAACTCTGAGCAAACTGAAGCAGGGCTGGGCTGGCAAAGGAGGTAGTCTAGACAACACACCACTCACCCCAGATGTTCAGACAGGGACACAGTGCTTCCAAAGCTGTATGTCCTGCATTAATCACTGCAAACTTCAAATGTGGCCATACCTCATTCTTAGAAATATAAAATAATTTTTTTTTTACAGATATGGGTCCTCAGTCCAGATTGACATTGACATAATATTTATTAGCCACAAGGAATATGGTAGCTTATCCCCTCTGAGTCATTCAGTGAAGTCCTCAGCAGTATAAGCATTATAAATGAGCTCCCATTCCTGTGCCCTCAGTTGAGTTGAGTTCAGCATCACATAACCACCTGCACAGCACTCATACAATAAGGACATAAATGGAATGGCTTTATTAGAGTGCCAGAGCACTACATCCACAAGCAGGAGTGGGACCAGGCACCTTTTGCATAGCCAGGCATCTCAATGCATGAGACAAAGCAGGAGACTTAAAATATATCTTCACAAGTCAGCCAACACCTATGTGTGCCAGCTAAAATCCTGACAGTGACTTGAGAGATTTCATGTTTCCAATCCTTCTCCCTCAGATTTCATCTCCCCGCCTTTATGACAGCACTGTGAATTTCAACTTCATCTCCATGGAATTCGTTCCTAAATGAATGGTTAATTGAGTGACACCTGCAAGTGTCATTACTGAGATGTTCCAAACCCCATTGCAAGACACTGCACATTGCAAAGGTCAGGCTGAAAATTAAGGCAATATTAGTTACATGAACAAACAATTCCTTCAGCCAATTCAAGCTACTGAAGGCTGCTCTGTTAGATTGTTTTAACACACAAAAGACAATTTTGATTTCCCAAATGGAAATCTTAGAAGTTAAATTTCAACAGGAAAGTTTGCTAATAAAACTTTGATAACCCCTAAAATAAAAGACGGTGACACAATAATGATAATATTAGCATACAGTGAAAACAGTAATAATTTACTGAGACAAAAAAAAATAGACTGTTTCATTTTCTACAGGCTCTTACATAAAAATAAAAATAGATCTGTATCAGTAACATCCTGCATCTGCTACCAAGAGTGAAGATGATTCTGTAAGAATTTCTTCCAGTGTTTCATCACTTAGCCCTGGCTGAGATCAAGTGTTCTTACACTGGCAGACACAGTTAAGTGAAATATCTATTAAATAGAAGCACTAAATACATATAAACCCAGCTTTAAAAGACAAGTAAATCTGCACTGTAATGTAAAAGCACATGAAATAACTGCCTCTGTAATTTGGTCACTGCAATTGCATTTAAGACAGCAGCATTGACTGTAATGATCTTTCTGTATAAATCAAGATATCAATGCCATCTCTGCTATAATTCAGTAGTTATTGTCCTCCCCTTGTATGACAAGCTCTCAAGGAAGATTTTTCAAAATACCAAGAGAAACAGACCTCCCATCCCAATGGAAAAAAAGTTTATTCCAGAGGTAAAATGTTTCCAAAGTTCAAAGCTGATTCCTCAATCAAAATTAACCCTGCTTCTCTTCCCCCCTTAGTTCACAAAATAATATATCTGGACCACTTCCTTTTCAGATGTGTTCAGATGTGTTTACTATTCAAAGTCACTAGTAAGAAAAAATAATAATAAATTAATAAGGAACCCAAAAGTACAGTAATACCAGGAAATAATTCACAATTCACATTAAAGATCCTCAAGTGCTGGCAAACCAATGACTCCCACATCTGCACTCTCTCTGAGCTCTCCTCTCTCACACCTCAGTGGGAGCTCCTCTGACTTGCAGGCAAGGCAGAGTCCCCAGCAGAGCTGAGCCCTGCACTGAGTGCCTGTCTCACAACAGATTACATAAAAATATGCTTTCCAACAAGACTATCTATCATTATCTCCAGATTTCAGACAGCTCTTACTGGATTTTCATGAACTACAGTAGCAAAGTAGAACTATCCAGTTAGCAAAAATCTCATTCAATAAATTCTTGGAATGCAGTGGTTCAAGTGGGCATGACTACTTAATTCAGACACTGTACTGGATCACTAAAGTCTGGCTCATTATTGTCCTATTATTACTGTTGCACCCAGATACATTCAGGTCTATTGCTTGCTATTTCTCATAACACCACAGAACATCTGCTTATAGTTTTACATCTTACCCTCAAAATCATTTTAGGAACCTACTATTAAAGTTCTATTAAAGTTTTTTAACTGACCATCATTCCATGTGCTGGAGAGTAATATCTCATTAGGGCTGCTTTTATAGTGTAAGAAAGTTGAGTTTCAGGCAGAAGCCCCAGACTATTTCTGAATATTTGATGAGCCATCAACAAAGACACCATCATGCATACTTTTTTCTTTAAGTACAGAGAGACAATTAAGAGCATCTTTTTCCACTGCTTGTAGAAATTATTCATGGTAGAGACCAATACAATGAAGTACATCAGAATAGCAAGAGCTCTTAATAAATTTTCCTACCTTATCTGCCATTATCATGGAGGCCCCGCCATGAATTCCAAGAATTGGAATAGAAGTCTGAGATGAAATAAAATCCAAAATCTGAGCTACTGCCTCCTGATCTGTGTCATCTCCAAAAACCACTCCATGGATCTTGGTGCCTGACATCAAGTCACAAACATGTGTTATGATGCTCTTAGGGTCAGTCTGGTTCACAAGAAGAGTCACTACATTGATATCAACAGTCAGGTCTGCTGACATTTCCCTGGTCCAGAGAGCTCTGATATCTCTCTCTGTTATGTATTTGGTCCTTCCCAGAATCACTGCAATGTTCAGGATGGGATAATTTTTCTCTGCTCCACGAACAAGATCCAAAGGTGCCAGAAGAGCTTGGAGTACCAGGAGAGCACAGCCAATTTTCCTCATCTTTGCCAGCTTTATCCCCTGTAAAAGTGATCACAATGTATAAGAAGAACATAGAGAAAAATATATATACTGCATATCTTCAAAGAAGGTTTTAAACAGAAAGCTTCTGGGTATAATGCAAACTTTAGCAGCTTTTTATAAAGCATCCTTCAACTTAGTTCCAAGTCAAGCCTCTTATATCTTATCAAAAACTTGGCTTCATGACAGTATTACAGCTGGCCTTCCATGAGCAAGGCAAAAACTGTAGCAGAAGTTCAGGGAAAAGACCCATTAACATTCTTCCTGGATAGCCAACAAAATTAAAATGACTGACATCATTTTAAAAAGACATTATCATCCTTCTCTTTAACCTTGCTGTGCTAAAATAGGTAAAAGAAATCTTTTTCCATCCAGAATATTTTTCTTCATCCTGGACATCTATTTAAACTTTAGTCGTGGTCTATCAGAGAGAGGTATTTTAGCCCAAAATGAGAGAAGTGAGTCAGAGGTCTGCTGGAAAGCCCAGTCCACACACTCCATACATCTCACAGCATCCCAAACCCATGCTGGTTTATTTCTGAAGATCCCTCCGAGGCAGCCGCTGCTTAAGGAATCCTACTGCATTTCTGGAACAGATTCAAAAGCACAATATTCTATCTTAATTCTTTTCTGTCCTCTCATGCAGCATTCAGAACTTGAGCATCTCAGAACTGCTGATCTCGGACACAAAGTTGTCCCTAGTGTTGAACGGGAGGGTGTTCCATAAATGAGCATCGCTGCATTGGTTACCTCATGTCTTCACTGAATCTCTGTAGGGGGCTGAATACAGACGGAGCAGGATGGGGAGAGAGATGAGCACAGAAGGGATCTGAACTATCTGAAGGAGGGAGAAGGGGAGCAGGTCTGACTCTGCAAGATCTCCCCGTGTTTCTGTGCCCCGGGGGATTTCCACCCCCACAACTGGCTCTCTGCTAGCTGCAAGAAGGGAGTCCCTGTGCCACATAAAGCCAAGCTTGTTGCAGAGCGTCACGCAGAACACACAAGCGGGGCTGGCCAATCACGGTGGCATTTTTCAGATCTCCCCTCTCATCCTGCCAGCCCTATCTCCATCCTCAGTCACGGCCGCTGAAACACACAGCCAGACACGGGCTTGCAGCATCACCACCTCCTTTCGGGGCACACAAGGAGACGAGCACTCGACAGAGCACTGAACTGCACATCAGCGCCTCCTGATTCACCGCGGGCCAGGACCCGCCGACTGCTCCCGCACCAGCGGCGGCACGGAGCGCGGTGGAACAGCAAACCGAACTGCCCCGGCTTCCTCCCGAGCCCGAGGAAGGCTCAGGGCCCCCGAGCCCCCCACTCCGAGCCCCGCTCCCAGCCCCGCTCGGATCCCGGCTCGCTGGCGCCCGGAGCGCGGGCCGGCGGCGGCGCGAGGGCGCCCCCCTGCGGGCGCGGGCCGCACGTACCCAGCGCCTCAGGAGACGGAGCGGCGGCGGCTGCCGGAGGTGCCGGTGCTGCTGTCGGTGTCGCTGCAGGACATGTCGCGACCGCGGGCATGTCGCGCCCCTCGCTGCCCGGGCTCAGGGGTGGCCTCCGCGCCGCTGGCCGCACTCGTGATCCCCGCCGCAGCCTGCGAGCGACATCGCATCCCGGGAGGGCAGCTACGTGGACAGGGAGACAGGCAAGGGGGGGCTGGACACGGGGGGGACGGGACGGGACAGCGAGGGGACGAGAGGAGACGGGGAGAAGCCGTTAGTCAGGTTGCAGATTTGACAGGAGAAAAAGAAATATACTTCGATCGCATGAACGGAAATAAAGTGACTACACTCAAAAGTTCCCCCCCTTCACTTAGATTTCCGCTCTTTCTAAAAGCAGCTCCGTGAGCCCTCAGCCGTCCGGGATACGTCCCTCATCTTATCCAGGTCAGGAATATCCTGAGCTCCCAACTGCCCGTTTGCTTCCAAGTGAGATGGACGGGTTTGAGCGCTAAGGGACGAGACGTCCAACCAGGAAAGCGCAGCTAGAAGCAAACTAATTAATATGAGCAAGGGCAGGAGTTTTCTTGGCAGGTTCAAAACAAGCATAACCTGGAGCATAGCTAAAGCGGCGCGGGATAAAGCTCTTTTCGCTCCTGAAACGGAACAGCTTCGTTCCCAATTTACCATAAATAAACCCAGGGAGACACTATAGCAGAGCCCACCACGGAAAGCTCGATTGCTCTGATTTTTTTCATTCACAATTCCCAGTAAATATGCATGAAGGCAGTTCTTCAAGCAACCCCAGCTCTATGTAGGACGCTGGCGCGCCAGGCAAAGCAGCCGGCATCCCCTCACCGGCCCTCGGTGCTGGCGGGGAGCTCGGAGCGCAGCCCCGGCCGGAGGAGCCGGCCCCGCCGAGAGCCCTGCGCGGCGCCCGGGGCTGGGCGCGATCCGGGCTCCCCACCAGGCGATACTTACTGCATTCTCCCTCCACATAGTTCCAGTTTAAAGATCCTCAAAGTCATTTCAGTAGATTCCTTTGCAAACAATGAAGTGGAAAATAGGTCCCTTAACGCCTGGATTTCATCCTGCAACTTGTTCCCACCGCAGTAAATAGCAGCCCGGCAGCTCTTTATCATTTGAAATCCCGCATGATCAAGTTTTAGCAGAGCCATTGCAACTGAGATTCGCTCTTTACTTTTGGCAGGAGGCATTTAAGAGTCTTCATCTTTTTTTTTCTTTCTTTCTTTTATTTTTTTCTCTCTTCCCTTTTTATAAATTGCGATATTGCCGCAGCAGCTCCCCAGGACGGCAGGCACGGAGCCCCCGCGCTGCTCTCGGCTGCTTGGAAGCGGCGGGGACTGGCGGCACGGGCTCCGGGAGGTGCGGCGGGCTCCACCCGGGGCCGCCTGCGCGGCGCTGCGGGCTGAGCCCGGCCCGCTCCGCTCCGCCGCCCCCGGCACCGCCGCCCTCGCAGGGGCGCAGCTCACGGCCGCCCTGTCACAGCCAGAGCAGCCGCGGATACTTTGAAGGCTTCTCCCCCACCCCACCCCCCCGCCCCGCTCTGCTTGCACAAGCAGCAGCGAATGAGTCAGACGCAGGCAATCGGGGGAGGGGGTGTCAGATCTGGGGGAACGGCGAGAACACCGGGTTTGGGGCGCAGGAGCGGCAAACTCCGGCGCTCTCCCCGCAGTAACATCCCCGGCGAAAGGTTGGTAGCCCGGGAAACCCCAGAGTGTTCTCCTTTCCCTTGATGCAGGGGCTATCAAGCAGAAATCGCTGCCGTGGGGCTCAGGGGAATGAATGTGGAGCAGCAGCTTACACACTAAAAGCAGCCCTAAAATCTCCAGACAGCAGCCAAATATCACAAAAAAGCTCTGAAGAAGTTGGCTCCATCTGCGCATCCCTGCTGCTCCATCCTCCTTTCGACATCCCCCATTCCAAAGCCTAGAGCCTGTTTCCCCATCTCCCGTTCCCCTCTCACAGCCCCGGTGCCAGACCCACGGGGCCTTGGAGCAATTCTTGCCCCCCTGCCCACACCACAGCCCACCTAAACCTCCCTCCACTACACACTGCTGTGCCTGCTCCCTCACTCCACTCCCTCCTGCTTTTTCCTTTCCACCATCCTGCTCCAGCTGCCACAACTTATTTGGTTTAGCACAAATGAATGCGCCAGCTAAGTACCACAGAGGGATGGCCTCATCCATGCTCCATCCTTTACAGCCATGTTCATTCCCACACTGAATGCTTCAGAGTAAGGCAAAGTCACACGTTTTGACAGACCCCCCACTCCTATGCCAGAGGAAACTTTTGGGTTCCAATAGGATAATGCCAAATGTTCACCCTCTGAAGTTTGCTGTTCACTACATTAAGACACAGAACACCAAGAAATCTCTCCCAAAGACATTGAACAACACATCAGCTTTACTGCTCTTGACAGTCTCGTCATTGAATTCCCTGATAGGTCTATGCCTGGGTTTTTTCCTCCTTTGAAAGATCTCACCTCCTAACTTATTTAGGGATTACTTCCTCAGACATTACATTAGTCTTTCTAAGCAAAGCAATTAAGCAGCTTCAACTGCCTTTTTTTTTTTTTTAATGTTTGATGTTTTAATGGATCTCTGCATTTCACCCTGGATGAACATTTTCCCCCTGTAAATATTATAGCAATGTTTGTCACGGTTACTGGAGATGAGGTTGTAGTTCCATCCTTGTGTAAGGGTTATTTCAGTGTTATCATTCAGGAGATTTGCTGGAACAGGAGCAAAAACAGATTCAAAATCCTCAAATATAAGGTTTCAATGGTGAAAAATTTCAGCTCTAACATTAGCCTATGTTTAAAATATAAAAAGGTCCATGGTGTTTTTGGGAAATACTTAGTATAAAATATATTTAGTGTACAATACACTGAGCCTAATGGTGTGAAAGACCAATACAAGAAATACCATATTTTCTAACTTCAGAGCTATATGATTTTCTTTAATCTAAATTTAGAAATAGTTTAGTGTTATTTCCAAATATTTTTCCTCAATTACTCTCATAAAATTTTGTGAAATATCACTATAAAAACAGTCCAAATTTACCAATTAGAATTAGAATAGAACGTATTAAAAGTTTGTGCAAACACAGTGGGATTAATTTTGGCAATACATACACAATCTTCCCAAAAGCTTCACCAAATTCAAGCAGATTACTGCCTACAGAATTGAGCAAATGCTGCAAAATTAAGACTGCTGCTTTAATAGATGTTCACACTCCATCTCTAGGTGTATTTGCACAGTTTTAAATTAAAGAGCTGCAAACATGATAAATCGTCAATTTCACTCAGCAGAAACAAGAAAACAAACCCAGCATTGAAGTGTCTAACCCTGTAAGTTTGGACATAAGGATAAGGGATTTCAAAAGCACTGAAACAAACTCTAACACCCCTGCATGTGGGGCATTGAGCATCTTCATGGACAACACTTATTCTGGGACACAGGTGGATTTACCCCTAAATTATTGCCTTTTCCACATGGGCAGCTCTGCACTTTTCTAAAAGCAGCTACAACACAAGTTCAAGTTTGGATCAAGCATTCTGAGATATTTCCCACCTGAACTTTCCCAACCAGGCCTGCCTCCTACATAAACACATATTTAAAGGTCAGGAACTTTCTTCATACTCTATTCCTCTTAAAATAACATCAAATTACAAAAAGGTTTCCTCTTTCTGAACATGACCTGTTGTAGAGAGCACTTGCCAACAGAAACAAGAAGCCAAATTACCAGGTAGAAGCAATGATTCCAGGCAGGGTCCGATGGGCTGGCACAACACAGATTTCTGTCCCTGTCACTGACTCCTCAGTGGGTGACACTAACTTGCACTCTCTTTGCTTTACTCTATCAGCTGAAAGATGCTTAACCTCAGAATGTTAGACAGCTAAATTAAACCTTCAGATTGTAGAAAACAACTCTAATTTTCCTCTTGCTTTTAGGAAGTGCAGTTAAGTAAGCTAAGTATAACCATGTTCTTTAAAAAAACAAAACTCTTCTCATAAAATTACACCAAAATTCATTTAAAAATACTATATTAGAGGTCCCATTATTGCCCCTCTACTATCAATAGAGGGAGTCTTCTTTATAGTCTTCTTTGCAAGAGTTTAAGACAATTTGAGAGATCTCAAACAAAGGGCAGATTTCCTCAACCATCCTTGCTACATGAAGACTCCATTGTAAAAACTTCCTAAATTTAATGAAACAGAATGGTAATGAGATATAACAGGCTAGGTTAAGGGAGAGAAGCTCACTTGGAATTCTTTCCAAATTTAAAAAAGTTTTCATTCCAGCAGTAAAACTACTTTTATATTTAGTTACTATTGCTGTAGCTACTAACAATTTATTTATATGGTTTTTATCTTTCACAAATATCTGAATTTCACCTACCCTGACAAATGTGTCCAACAGGAATCAAAAGTCACATTGATGCAAAGTAATTTTTCAGTACCACACAGGATCAGCTCTGAAATGGAACCACTCGACTCAACAAAAACTTAATGCAGAGCAAACAAGGATACAGTAACATAAATTTACTCTTGGGAAGCTGCAAAGTTACTTACATGCTAAATGAAATCAAAGTAAAAATGGGAAAGAACTCAATTGTTTTCAAACTTGCTAAAACATTTTGTCACAGATGGCCCTCTTATTGAAAACTGGCATAGCTCCTCATTTGGCAGTGCTCTTTCTTGCACAATTTACCAAGTCATGCATGAAATGATGGCCTTGAGCTACTCTCAGTTGTGCAAAGGACATGAGCTAGCTGCTATGGAAAAAAAAGGGGAGGCTACATCACTGAGTGGAGCTTGAGGCTGTTACAGCACTTCAGCTTCTCTGGAAACAACCCCAGCAGGGAGGGAACCCCAGGGACTGCTCAGCCAGAACTGGTCCTTTCCACCTCACCTCTGACTATCAGAGCTATTCAGGAATCACCAGGTTTGTGTCTCTGCCTCTTTTGTAATCAATTTCCCATATCAAATTTATCTTCAGATGCATTTCCAAACTCTTCTATGCAGCTCCCAAGAGGGATTCTTTTATATTCAAATCTAACTCTAATGGTCATAACAGAATTTCGTAATGAACTCTGTGTTTTTAATTAAGGCAGCTCTATTAACAAAGATCTGTGTCACAGCAATGCAGTCCTGTGCAGACTGTGTCAGCACCAATCCCTTCACACACTGAACTGCCTGCACAAGGCCTGGGCTTCAGGGAACTGAATCAGCTAAATACTAGTTTAAGATTGCTTCTCTTCTTCCCAAGCTGTACTCCCCCATCAGAAATTGGGAAAAACTAGTATATTTTCTAATAAAATCTTCCTGGAACACCCAAGGAAACACCTGACCACTGCATGGCCAATACAGCTTATTCATCAGTGCCTACAGCAGTAAAGGAACAGTCAAAAATTGACACTATTTATTCAGGGCCAAAACATGATCTCCTAACCCTCACTGAACTCAGCAACTAAAGTGGGAAGCCTTTAAAAACCAGATTTTTTTAAAAATACAATTTGAAACCTCCTCTTCAGTCACTCTAAGCCATACAAATCTGCCTCATGTATCTATTGTGGACAGCCTGACGAGCCTCCCAGACAAGCAGTTACTACCTTGTGTTAGTCTACCTTGAGTTAGTCTAAAGGATGCTCAGATTTTGGAAGTGTGTAAGGACAGCAGCAGTTTTGCTCTTGCCTCACTTGGAACAAAATATGTGCCCCCACATTTGAGATGGTCTACCTTTATCTACCTTTATCAAGTTTTTAGATACCTAAAAAGGCCCTTATGTATACAGCTGATGTATATTTAAAGATTTTTACCAAAAATTGGTTGAAGTTAGAGATTACTATAATTTTGATCTTTTGATGAAACAATACTCAAGTAGTAGGTATTCAAGGGGCTGGACAGACTTGTTAAGTTTGAAAATAATAATTAGAAAAATACCCTATGAATCTTTAAGACAGGCAAGCTACTTGTCTTTACCGATATTAGTACTATTTGTAAAACAAACTTTCATTGAATATTGGTTTTTTATATAAAATTTGTTTAAACATTAAAAAATTACTACTTATGACTGATAAGAGCCAGCAGTGACCCCTCACACATTGTTCATTGGCAGAACTTGTTTGCTAAAAGAAAGTTGTACTGAGTGGGAAGCACCAAGATGCCTACACTGCATCTGCTTCTCAGT